TGGCTCTCAGAGAGCTCTTCCAGGCTGGAAAACACAAGTCCTGCTTACCGAGCTGCACATCCCAGAGCTGCCCTTTGGACTCGGCTCAGGGTGGCTGGTCTGTGAACTTGCCAGCAAGCAGACAGCCCATAAGCAGATCGTAAGGTGAGCGCCTCAAACGCACATGAACTCTGCGAACTGCACACGGCCCTGTGCCTGCTTCACAGGCCCGGTGTCTGCAAGGGACACTCCTGCACACGGCCCACAGTGGCAAATAAATAGAGCCTGTGGGCGGAATTCGCAAGGTGACATTAAAAAGGAGAAGCGAAAACCAAACAACGTGGCTCTTAAAGGAGACGTCCCTGGTGTTTCAAATTCTTCGATTGCGTGTCTAATGAGACGGTGTAACAGACTTTATTTGGGAAATAAAAGGCCCCAAACTGGAATAATCTCGGAGGAGAGCTCACAGATCCATTCATCAGAGCAGAGACTAAGTTTCAGGGTCACCCTCTTAACCCTTCCACAGATCACCATTCTCTGATCAACGCAAGAACAGTCCCTAAACGGGCATTCCAGGAGCGCAGAGAGCGACTATAAGAAAGCACGCCGGGCCACTGGCGTCCACCGTGCCTTCGGAAGGCAGGGAACAACGGCTGTGTGTTCCTGCAGCGGGACCGGGAGCATCACTTTTCTCTGAATCCAGTGGAGTTGATTTTCCTACTTCCTGGCTCATCAGCCCTGGCAGCTGCCCATGTCCGGAGAAGCCTCCACTTCACATCAGACCCACAGACGGGAACCAGGCTGGGCCCCGCCCCTCCCGCGATGTGTGTTGGGCATTGAATGGGGAAGACAGGAGAGTCACAGGTGCATTTAGATGATGGCGCTGGCAAACACAATGCTAAAAAGCGCAAACGTCTGTTTTGGACAGCGGTTCTCAACCTGTGGTCACAACGCCTTTCGGGGTTGAAGGACCCTTTTCACAGGGATCGCCCGATTCATCACAGTAGCGAAATGACAGTGATGAAGTAGCAACGAGAATAACTTTATGGTTGGGGGTTACCACATGAGGAGCTGTAGTGTATGAAAGGGTGGCAGCATCAGGAAGGTTGAGAACCAGTACAGCCAGAATGCCCCGCAGGAGCGAGGATGGCGAGGATGTCAACACTTTAAAGACATTCTATGCCCTTTCTGAATCCAGCTTAATTTCTGGCGGCTCCCTGTCCATGTTCTTCTGCAATTGTTTAATTATCTTAAGCAAGAGTTTATTAACGTGAAATTAATTATATTGTTTGATAATTTCAATATTCTGTTGATTCACCTTTCTTTGGAATGGATACAAATGCAGATCTCTTGCTGTCAGTTGGCTTGGTAGTTTTCTTAGAAATTTCTTGGGATAGGGAGGATGGGGGAGGGAGGGGAAAAGTGAGAAACTGATACCAAGGGCTCAAGTAGAAAGGAAATGTTTTGAAAATGATGATGGCAACAAATGTGCTTCACACAATGGATGGATGGATTGTGATAAAGAGTTGTATGAGCCCCCAATAAAATACTTTTTTTTAAAAAAAGGAAAAAAATTGATTGTGGTAATGATTGTACAATTCTTGATATGATTGAACTATTGAATTGTATGATATATGGATGAAGTGCCAATAAAATTATTAAAAAATCAAAACAAAAATTTCTTGGCATGGACTTAGTGAGTACTTTTTTTCTTCAGGTTGTTGAAACATTTAAGTTGGTGTTCACTTAAGTCCTAGAGTTTTATTTTTTGCTCATGTCTTCAGTGCAACTTAGATTTCGTCCTTCACATCCCGGGTTTTTGATAATATACCTATTAAATTAGTTGAATATTGAAACATTGTTTGGGACAGTCTTTCCATTGTCTTTTGATGTTCAGAAAACTCACTGCCATTGAGTCAGTTCCGACTCAAAGCAACCCTGTAGAGCTGGGTTGGACTGCCTCTGTGGGTCTAAGACTGCGAATCTTTGTAGCAGAAGATAGCTTCCTCTTTCTCCCTTGGAGTGGCTGGTAGTTTCAAACTATTGACCTTGCAGTTAGCAGCCCAACGTCTAGCCCACTATGCCACCTCCTTCAATATTACAACTTGAGGCTTGAATTTTTTCTTCAATTCTTCAGTTTGAGATTTACTTAACACTCTAACTCCAGGTTTTTGCACAGTTCATTATAATACTTTTTTTCCCTCAAGCTTCCCTTTGAAATTTTCTGTTCATTTCCTTTACTTAATCATTTCTTCAGTTTTCTTTAACTGCTCTACAAGAGTAGTCTAGTATAGTATAGTCTTGACAATGTCTTCTGGCATCCACTTTAGGTTTCACTTTCTTTTTTGTCTTTTTAATGATTGTTCTTTTTATTGTAAGACGTTTTTGACGTCATTCCATAACATCAATTCTTCGATAATTATTTCATGTGTCATCTTTTTCTTGTATCTAATACCTAGGGATACTAATTCTCAAATTTGTGTGTACTTAGCTGTTTCTTTGCCCCTTTTCCTCTCCCTTACCCTTCCAAGGTCTCCCCATCTTGAGTGTTGCAGAATTTCATAAGGACACCCTGGTGTGGATCTTTATTTAGTCAGTGTGCCTGGCACTTGATCTCTAGGAGTCCGAAGGCTTGATGAACCTTCATTCAGTTCTAGGAACCTTTCTTCTGTTCTTTCTTAGAAGGATCATAGGAGAATCTCTTGACCCAATCTCTCAGCTCAGTATTTTCCCTTTATTTAGCATATCTGTTGGGATCTTTCCTATAACAATGCGATTCATTACTAAATACTATGACTTTTTCAAGATAGCCTCTTACAGCTTAGCACGCTTTTATCTCTTGCCTTTATTGATTCTGCGTCTTAGTGATTGATCCTTTGGTTTGTTGATTGTGTGCTGCTTTTTCTTGCTTTTATTTTCCTCAAATGTGTATTGGTTTTTGGTTCTCCTGCCTTGAGTATAGCGCAAGAGTGCATATACCTTCTGGCTAGCAGCTGAGGCTGGAACCTTCCGCTACCAAGACTTTGTATCACCTTAAAGACTCTCAAGGAGCTGGTGAAAAAGGAAACACTTTGAATTCAAAGATACTTCCATTCCACCGGAAGGTGAGAGCACAGTTCTATGGTTCAGAGAGAGGATTCTAGGAGTGAGTTCTCCTGGAAGAGCCTGGAGGAGTCCCTAAGTTCAGAAGCAGTTGGGAGTTAGGAGGGGGCAGTCTGGGACAGCTCAGTGTACTTCATTAAAAGGAGTGAAATCATTGCAGCTCCAGGCTTTGGAGTTAGGATCTGCTTTTTGTAAGAGGGGACCTCCTACTCAAGAGGCCCTCCAAGGCTGGTCCGGTCATTTAAGGCCACAGTGCAGGACAGCGAGGCCCAAGACCTACTGGAAAACACAGAGCATATGCCCCCACTCTTGCGCCATACTCAAGGCAGGAGCACCTCTAATCCGAGCCTCAGTTCATCTGAAGAACAGATTCTCCTGTGGGTTAAGGATCCACAGGTAGTATGGTTAACAATACCACACAACTAGCTCTTCATCTATAAACATGAATGGAGAACAGCCAGGGGTTGAGACAGCTCAAACAATTGTTGCCCGGTCTCTAGATCTGTTTTTCCCACAACATCAATCACCATGGGCCAATTTCCTAAGCCCACTGTGCAAAAGCCCTTAGACTTTTAGTCCAGCATGCAAGAAAAGGGCTCTCTGTACATGTCCTTGTAATAAAGTATTTTTCTTGGCTTTTCATAATTGGGTTAAAAACTTTTAATCTCCTTAAATGCCATTTTAGTGACTGGCTGTCCTTAGCCTTCACAACTCCTTTAAGACATTTGTTATCCTCTCGTTTGATAGGAAGGAGTTTTCCAGGCCCAGGTGCTGCCAGTCAGGATGATGTCTGCTCAGTGGGGTGGTACCAGTCAGGTGCCCTGTAAACATGCAATTTGAGTGTTTTTGTTGTCATCAAGTCGGCTCCCCGTGTCTCGTGGAGCCCGTGTCCAGCGGAACGGAACGTTCCCCAGCCTGGCATGTCTTCACAGTGTTGGTGTGCTGGTGCCCATTGTTGCAGCTGCTGTGCATTTTGGGTGACTTCCGTCCTAGAGATTCAGCTTCCAACACCATATTGGGCGGTGTTCTTCTGGCTAATCTTGGGGTATAGATCGCCAGATCTCTCTGAAACTAGTCTCTCTGACTGGAAGCTCTGGTGAAACCTGCTCACCACGGGGGTCTGCTGGTATTTGAAATACCGATGACAGTTTCCCGACTCAGAACAACACCCAGGGCTGGCTCCCTGTGTGACCCACTAAAAGAGGACTGGTGATCCGTATATAAGGGAGCTTCCGAGATTTCATGGAAAAGTCCGATTATCTTTTGCTTCCATTTCTACACAAACTCTTTAATGCCCCTCCTATAGAAAGCTGACTAATTCTGTCTAGTGACGGCCACACCTTCTGTTGAAAGACAATGTAAATGACATTCTCCTTTTTTTGTCGTTCTGTAAAACAGAATTCCAGTGTGTTTTATTGCAGTTACTAACTCTAAGTTTTGATAAGTACCAAAGTAATGTTGAGGTAATTTTTCCTTACTTTTTTCATTCTTGGTTATTTATTTTTAATTTGGTTTTATTTTAGAGAGCCTTGCTGCCCAAATTTCTTATTAGAGGACATCTCAACTCAACTAACTGTGCTATCACAGAGCCGCTGACAGGAGAGCTGGTTGTGGAGCATTCCGACGCAGCCATCAGGAGCATAGAGCTGCAGCTGGTCCGAGTGGAGACCTGTGGTAAGCCTCCTCCTCCCTCGGCCGTCCATGTGGGCACCGGAGGCGTGAGCCCCCCACCCCCCATCTTTCTCAGCTGTCCAAGTGGACACCTGTGGCGGGGGTCCTTTGTTAACAGGTTCATCTTCTAGCTTCTGCCTTTGGCCATTCATTGTGTGTTCAGCAGTTAAAATGATGCCCGGAGAAGCAAAAATAAAGAGCACGTTTCTTGACTCCAATAAATACAAGGTTTCAAAAAGTTTGGATAAAAATTCTATTCCCTTTCCATTCCGCTTGTCCAGTGTACTTCCTCCTGTGTGTTTGAGAAAAGCGCAGTGGGAAAGACCCAGAGCTTCCTGGAATCTCGCAGAGTAGGCTTGCAGACCTGAGGGAGGCTGCTGCTGCCACTCCTGCTGATTCTCACTGAAGGTCTGATGCAGCTGGTGCTGGTGTCTGACCTCGTGCCATTCTCTCCCTTTCCCAGGCTGCGCAGAAGGCTATGCGCGAGATGCCACGGAGATTCAGAATATCCAGATCGCTGATGGGGATGTGTGCCGGGGCCTCTCTGTTCCCATCCACATGGTTTTTCCCAGGCTCTTCACTTGCCCTACTCTGGAGACCACCAACTTCAAAGTGGGTAAGCTCAGGGGTGTGGCCACGGGAAGGCAGACAACCCACGGTCTCCTGGGGTCACTGCAGCTCCAAGTCACTTTGCCAATTGCCAGGCTGGCTGGGAAGCCCTTGGGCCAGTGCGGAGGACATAGCAGAGGGCAAGCCCCGCTCCTGTGTAGCTCAGGCTGTCTGGCACAGAGACACCCCCCATGTGCAGCTGTACAATAAGTCAGGGGACAGGGAGAGTTGTGCAGAAAACTATCGTGACAGTGAGGGACCTGACAGCAGAGAGGAGTGGTTCAGTGGGAGGCCGTTTTGATCAGGGGCATTTGAGAAGAAATGTCCAAACAAGTGAAAACCTTACTGTGAATGTTCGTCCAGATAAAAGCTTTGGGCTTCTCCAATTTAGAGTATGTTTGCTCATTTGTGATTAGCCCTGGTGGTATAGTGGTAAAGATTTAGACTGCTAATCAATAGGTCAAAACAACCACTCACACCTCAGGAGTAAGGTGAGGCTTTCTACTCCTATAAAGATGTACAGCCAGGTCGATTCAGTGGGCGGGAGTGGTCATTTGTCACAGATAAATGCATATACATCGGATGACCACAAAGGCTGAGTCATGTCCTGCTTTTTCCCTTAACATTATTTCACGTTAAATGAAACCACATTAAAGGACTTTTACATCTTCTCATCAGCTGTTTTAATGGTAGAGTGACCCTAGTGTTTGTCGAGTTCAGTTAAGAAGCAGCCCCATGAAGAAGTAGAACAGAGACATGATGGCAGGGATAAGAGTTTTCTGTACACTGACTGAAAAGTCCCCGGCCGTTCTTGGGCCAGGCCTGAGGTGCATTGTTAGATATGGGATGCAGGGCTTTAGGGAGAACAAATTCGCTTGGGTCAAACGGTTTCCAACGCATGGCAACCCCATGTGTCAGAGTAGACCTGTGCTCCGTGGGGGTTTTCATGGGAGCAGACTCAGGCCTGCATTCTAGAACGCCTCTGGATGGACTGGGGGTGCCAGCCTTATGGTCAACAGCAAGCACAGAACCAGGGAATCCTGCTGGGCTGGTCTTCCTGTTTGACCAAGGAAGGACCCCGCATCTTCATTAACGCCCCAGTGCCCTCAGTCTTTAACTTGCATGACTCGTCCAGCAAGAGCCCTCCTTTTTGTTCACAGCACTGGCTTTACTTTAAAGCTCACAGTATAGACTCACTGCCATCAAGTCCATTGACTCATAGTCACCCTATAGGGCAGAGTAGAACTGCCCCTGTGGGTTTCCCAGACCAAGTCTTCAGGAGGGTAGAAAGCCATGTCCTTCTGCAGAGGGCAGCAGGGCCTAGAACTGCTGACCTGCAGGGAAAGGCTGGACGTGTGCTCCACTGTGCCACCAGAGACCCTTATATTTACACTTTAAGTACAATGCAACTTTGTTGTCACAGTGACCTGTGCTGTCTAGGTTGAGAGAGGAGAGTATGTTGTGTCTGGCCGTCGGGTCATCGAGGGGACCGTGACCTCCCTGTGAGGGCTTCAGGCAGCTTGCCCAGTGCGGCCAGAGCCCCTGGTAGCTGTTGGATCCCCCCAGTCCTGTGTGTGAGATGCTAAGTTGTAGCATGGGATCAAGAGGCTCAGTTGTTCACCAAACACACATGCAAGGACAGCGACACTTGCCAAAAGACGCTTGAGAGTCAAACCTGAAACACACGGGGTTGCCACGAACTGGAATGAGAGCAGGTGAAATATGCTCGTCTTGTAAAATTCTAGGGTACCAAAGGGCATGGAGTGAAGGGTGAATTCCTTCGCCTGCAGCTGCTCCACCTCCACATCTGGAGCGGCCCGGCCCGCCTCTTCATGTCCCACCTTGACCAGATAGCTCGCTCTCAGTGTATCCTCGGTGCCACACTACACAGGTGACCCAGAAGGTGGGGATGTTTTTTTTTTTTTGCGGCACTTGGAGGAAGGCCTCTGCTGTTGCTTTCCCAACTTGGTTGGCCTCCATAGGGTGCAGAAAAGTACAGGAAGGTGTGGTTTCCTGCTGTGCTGTCAGTGAAGCTCAGTTTTATCAGAATTGTGCTGCACAAGACACAAGCTTGTGTAAGTTTCCACGTAAAGCCCTCAGTCCCTCATCCAAGACAACCCTCACACTCGTGTCCTCACGTTGAAGGTCAAGCTTTACACATGACAGATATCTTTCCCAAAATGTTGATGACATTTAATGGTTGGAGCGGTCCTGCACTGCTGTTCCCATTGGCTGTGGAGGGGAAGCTGGAGGAGGGAAGTGGTTCCCACCCAGGCACTGCTTTGCCCCTCCTGCGCCGGTAGAGGGCGGGTGTGGCCGGGCCCAGAGGGGCCGTGGTTCACAAGGGACTACTGTAGCTCGGAGGTGAGCATGAGCACAGAGCCCTGTGGTACGAGTGACTTCCTTGTGCTCTGACCATTCACCTAAGTTGTGCTGACTTACAGTGGCTTCACACATAGGGAAAGCGCAAGACCATCTTGCAGCCCCAACCCCTGGCTAGAAGAACAAGCAGGAACGTGGGACATCAGAACATGCGGTGTTTGGCCCGGCTCCGCACAGGCCCCCTCAGTGTCTCCTGGGGAAAAAAGCAGTTAGGAGGGTGGGGGAACAGAGGAAGAGATAGTGGCTGGAAGGGCTCAGAGGAAGCTTCCAGTTTTGTGATGATTATCAGAGACAGGGAGCCAACCAAACAGATGCTGTTGGAGCACCTGTCACAGGCGATCATTGTGTTAAGGCAACACCCACATTCAGGACATTGTAGACAGGTCTCCAGCTTCAGGCACTGTTGGATGAGGTGGCCCCAAAGCCCCTTCAGAAGCTGAGCTCTGCAGCGCCGGGCTTTCACCCTCTCCCAGCTGCTGCTCGGCCCACACAGAGCACCTCTCTCCGCCTCCGTTCTCAGGGGAGCAGGACTTTTCTTCAGAAAAGACACACACCCTTTACCTTGTGATCAACAAGGGTACCAACTTCAGCTAAAGAGATGGTGGAGAAAGAATCCTGATGGTTGAAAGGTCAGGGAACCCCCTGGAGCAGGTGTGTCAGGTCAGCTAGCTGATAGGCAGAGGCTCGCCATGCCCACTGTGCATGGTCCTGAACATGGTTCCTCCCTGGCGCTGTGCAACGTGTACACTGACAGCTGTGGGCCCGGTGTGCTGGCCGTGCCTCATCAGTTGTAAAATCATAGCCACACGGGACAAATGGGTTGCAAGGCTTCCGGAAGAGTGTCTGTAGTAAAGACCAAGGACAAGGAAAGTCATTTAGGGAGCCTGGTGTGGCCTGCTGTCCAAGACAGGAGATCGACACATACTTAGAGAAAGTATACAGAGATGGTCAGATGTCAGTGTACTCATCTTCACTGGCTTTCCTGGAAGCATGAGGTGCTGCAGTTACACAGCCTCACAAGGGCACTGGGGTATGTATGCCCATGACTTTCTAGAGCTGCGGTTCTCAACCTGTGCGTCGTGACCCCTTCACAGGGATTGGCCGATTCATAACAGTAGTAAAATTACAGCTTAGAAGTAGCAACGAAAATAATGTTATGGTTGGGGGTCACCACAACATGAGGACCTGTATATGAAGGGTTGAGAACCACGGTTTCTAGAGCCTTCCACTCACTCCTGTAGTTGACTCATGGGACAGTATATGGTGCTGTGACCTGAGAGGACAGAATAGAAGTGTCCTTACAGAGCCCTGGTGACACAGCAGTTAAGCATTCAATTGCTGACACAGCGCTCGGCAATCCAAAGCCCCAGCCGCTCTGCAAGAGAAAAGATGATCTGCCCGGAAGCCGGGGGCAGCTGCCCTGAGTCACACGGCCTCGCTGTGAGCCGGACTCCGCTCACCGGCAAGCACAACAACAACCGCCGCTGCAGAGCCACTGGAAGGGTCAAACCCGCGGGCTTCCGGTTGACAGCCAGGTCCTGACCTGCCCCTATTGTCGCTGTGAGGCTGAGGGGGACGGCACGGGGGCAGGTTTTAGCCCCAGTGGAGTGTGGTGCGAGTGAACACCAAGGCTCTCTCTCCTTTCCAGAATTCGAGGTCAACATCGTGGTGCTGCTTCATGCTGATCACCTCATCACAGAGAATTTCCCACTGAAGCTCTGCAGGACGTAGCCCACGAGGCATGTGGGAGACGCACGCCTTCGTGGAAATCCAGCTGGCTGCCAGACTGTTAGGGAGAGACACAGCTGCGGCACATACTTGTTCTCTTGATTATTCTGTGTCAGAACTGAATCTGACTCCCCAAAGTCTAATCACCCTCATCCTCATTCCCTGAAGGCTCCTGCTTCCAGTGGGCGGGGCGTCTTGTAATCAGACTCTTTGTTTGAAATGAAGCAGGATTTCTGAATGCCCTTTGCAAGCTCATTGCACAGGAAGCATTTCCTATGACTCCTGATGTCCCTGATCCGTTTTCCATAGAGCAAAGCCTCCCCTACCCCCCACCCACCACCCCGCACTTAGAGCTTTGCCAGGAAGTGAGAGCGTGGGACAAAGGGAAACCTCCCCACAGCGAGCCAGTGGCCGTGGCAGGGAGCCACGTGAACGTATGGGTGAGGAAGTGTGCAGACAGCCTGCTGGGAGAAGTGCAGAGTGCACTGAAGACATATAGCACCCGCATGCTTCACCGTGATGGGGCGGAAGTCTCCCTAGCTCTCCCGCAGCTAAGGGCTGGGCAGTGATGGCCTGTGTGGCAGAGTGCTTCTGCGGTCTCAGCACCGGGTGTCAAATCTGCTGCCGCATTCCCAGAAGACATGTAAACACAAGGCTCTGTAGGAACCCCATGCCCCATATCTGCTGCTGGTTCTGTTAGGGGGCTGCTGAACGGCAAGAGACACCCCCCCAGTCCTCTCCACAGGGGACACCCATTATGTCATGAGCCTGGTGGTCTCAGGCCAGCCTTAGGAACCTGTGCTTTGAGCCAGGGGCTTGTGGTCTGAAGCCTATTTTCCTTAGCCTCCCATTGTGGTGCTTGGCCTTGGCATGTCTGTGGTAACACCTCCCTTGTTTCTGTTGGTTCACAAAGAACAAGAGCACTGAATCCAGCACACTACTGACCTGCCCCTTGTGCCCCGCTTCTTAAGTGGGTGTGTGAGAGAGAGAAAGGTGTGTGTGCGTGCTGAAGACAAGTAAGCCTGCTTCATCCTAGGCTGTTCCCGTGAAGTTGATAACACTTAGCCACTGGGTCGTTTACTAATTGGTTCCCAGAGAATCCATTTCTGTTGTAGAACTTCAATGCTCACATGGCAATAACGATACTTAAAGTAGGAGAACTGATGACGGCACACTTCTGGGGAAATTTTTAATAAAAGCATTTTTAATAAAGTTGACACTCCCCCCCCACCTATCCCTTTGTCATTCCAGTCAACCCTGAGTGGTCCCGGTGGCCGCAAGGCTTCTGCTGGGCCGTCACTGTGGTTAGAAGGCACACCTAGGTGTTTGGCTCATGCAGACCTTAACAGTCCCCAACTGCTGGGGCTGGCTGCAGCGGGGGCGCCTGCGGTTGCAGGCTCCAGGTTGTCAGATTAGATGCCCCAATGGTTTAGCACATAAGGGGGAAGGAAGGGGAGGGGAAAGGACAGAGTCTCAGAATGGTGTCAAACCATTGCTTCTGGTAAAAACACGCTTAGGCAGGAACATGTTTTTATCCCAGTGGAAACAGCCCAAAGTATGAACTGTGTGGCACTTGGGTCAAGAGCATGGCCTCTGGATCCAGACTGCTGAGGGTGAGCCCCAGTCCCTCTACCAGTGACCATAGGCACTACTTAACCACAGTGCCTCAGTTTCCTCGTCTAAACTATGTTTAAGGGTTGGGCTTGGCTCCAAGTCCCCACCGAGTGGTCAGTTCCAGGCTAACAGGGGGCCATCAGAAAACGATGTAGGAAAAGCTGAAGTATTGTTTATGGAGGGGAAGTGGACTCCAAAGCCGGGTCTGCTTCCACTGCTGCTACTGTTAGGTGCTGTCGAGCCGGTTCCGACCCAGTGGCCCCATGTACAACAGTACAAAAACACCTCCCAGTCACGTCATTATCACAGTCCCCATGCTCTGTTGCAGCCCCTGTGTGTCAGTCCATCTCGCAAGGATCTTCCTCGTTCTCGCTGCCCCTTCATGGTGACAAGCATGATGTCCTCCGGGGAGCTGCATAATTCCTGTGCCAGTCCAAATTGCCCTTCCAAAAGTTACTGGGCCAAGATTACATCCACTAGCTTGAAGATGTAGCAAACTGCCAATGTTCTGCAAGCCCTAGCTATTCTGACCATCGTGATTTTTCGTAATGAGAGTTCAGAAAGTTCCTGGAAGAAAACTTAGCTGGCCCCTGGCTACCAAACTAGGGACTTATTTCCCAGACACCTTTGCAACTCTGCTGGTCAAAGGCCCAAGACCACATTGGTCGGTGTATTGTGTTGGGTCCACATTCCCACAACCAAACTTCATTGTGCATAATTCTGCACAGAGCACGTGGGAGGACAGCTGCCTAGGGGTGGCAGAGAAGGAAGATCAGGGGAACTCAAGTCTCCCTGAATGTGTGAGCTGAACAGTTTGCTTCCCGGCCCTGTAGAGCTACACATGCCCACTGCCTCAGGAGCAGCCCCCGTGGAGAAATAGGGCCGGCATTGAGTAACTAACCACAGTCAGCAGCTCAAACCTGCGCATTACAGGAACTGCCCCCATAGTCTTCTGTCTTTAAACACCGACCTTGTTAACAGCCTGGTGCTTAACCTACTGTGCGTGTGTAATTGCAAGAGAAAAACAAGAAACCTAAAGCTACTGTACTGGAAGATTTCTTGGTTCCAGCTGCCCAGCCTTTACCCCAGTAGGTGTGGGGAGTAGCTCCCATTCAGCACCCATGGGCCCCTGCTCAGTATCCAAAGGTACCCACAAAATGCAAGATAAGAACTAACTCCCTTCATGACCATCCCCATGCACTAAGACAGGCTTCAGAATATTCTCAGAGGTCCAGACATCCCCCTCCCCCACCGAGTTGGTCCCATTCCAGGGTGGGATGACACCCCCACCCACCCCCAGTACTCTTTGGCTCCTTGCTGCTCTAGTGATGCTGGGAACCTGTACTAGAACCCTGTACAACTTCAGGTCCAGAGTAGGTAGGCCGCTCCCACTGCTAGTCACTAGCTGATGATCAGAGAGTAAGTTAGGGTCTCCCAGAGAAGTGCCAGTACCAAGAATCAGTTGTGCCGTCTGATCTATCCCTCTCTCCCCACCATCTGTGAAGGAGTGCTTCGCAGGCTGAGGAGGGTGTGAATCACTGGAACTGTGCCGCTATCTAGTGCCAGTTGCCAGACACCCTGGCCTTGACACTTCCTTGGAAAGTGGTGCTCTAAGTGAGGCCAAAGCCTCAGTTCTGGAGGAACGTGATGGCCGTGCCTTCCCCGGGGAGCTCAGTTTTAAGTCGCTGGGGCCATTAGTACATACTAAGTGTGGCTTGGGGCTAATGAGAGCCCTGTCTTACTCCTGGTTCTCAGCCTGTGGGTCGCAACCCCTTTGGGGGTTGAATGACCCTTTCATGGGGGTCACCCGATTCATAACAGTAGCAAAATGACAGTTATGAAGTAGCAATGAAAATAACTTTATGGTTGGGTGTCACCACAACATGAGGACCTGTATGAAAGGGTTGCGGCATGAGGAAGGTTGAGAACCACCGATCTAGGTCCAACTGTTTCAAGGTCTGGGCAGGTAGGTTTTTGTCATGGCAACCCTTTGACAAAGAACAGTTGTTGCGTCCATTCCCATTCATGGAGACACCACGCGTGCCAGAGAGAGGTGTGCCATAGGAGTGCTTTGGTTTTTAAACAAGCCATCAGGCCTGTGTTTGCAGGCGCCACCAGGGTGGCTGTGAGACACCAACTTTCATTAGTGGCCACTTGTGCCCCTTGCCACCCTCCACACCCCACACCCACACCCCCGGGAACCATCTATCATGTATGTAGCTAGTTACACACATGTATCCATATATAGAAGACGCATAAGGAATGACAGGAACCCAGAGAGGAAGTGAGAGTGGTTGCACTGAAGAGACCACAGGTAATGTGAAACAAAATGTGGGTAAATCATTGAATAAACTTTAGCCCAAACCACAGACAGAAAAGTTGAAGATTACATTTTTTCAAATAAAAACTATGTATAGAGTCGCTATGAGTCAGCATCGACTTGGTGGCAGTGAGATTTTTCATATATAAGTATATATAAATGTATATAATTTGTACAATAAAATGTACAACTCAGCACAATTCATCCTGAGTTGTACTTGTCTGAAAGGAAAGAAAGCAGAAGGTTCAGAGACTACTTAGAAGAAGGTAGAGCAGTGGTTCTCAACCTTCTTCATGCCACGACCCTTTAAGACAGTTCCTCATGTTGTGACCTCCCCAAGCATAAAATTATTTTTGTGACTACTTCCTAACTGTAATTTTGCTATTGTTATGAATCGTAAAATACCTGATATGCAGGATGTATTGTCATTGTTATAAGTTGAACATAATTAAAGCATAGTGATTAATCACAAAACAATATGTAATTATATATTGTGAAATATTTATGTGTTTTTCAATGGTCTTAGATGACCCCTGTGAAAGAGTCGTTCAACCCCCAAAGGGGTCGCAACCCACAGGTGGAGACCTGCTGAGCTAGAAGCATGAGCAAGACCTGTGGGCAGAGCAGCTGATTAAACTCGGGCCCTTGGAAGGCTCCAGGAAGGCAGGGCTTGCGGATGGAACCCGACCGTCACACCTCAGAGGGGCCCTGATGGCACAGTCGTTGAGGCAGTGGGCTGCTAACGACAAAGTCCAGAGTTTCAGCCCACCAGCCACTTAAGGGAAGATCCAGCTGTCTGCCGCCATAAGGACAGGCTTACAATCTCTGAAGGAGCAGTTTGCCCTGTAGGGTTGCTGCGAGCTGGACGATCCAACTAGATTGGGTTATCACCCGAAGGCGATGGCCATTGGTCCCTTCCACACGGTGCAGAAATACGTGTCCAAATGGCTCCTGGGAGAGAAAGTGCATAAGGAAGTCTGCCACTTGCTGTGCTGCGGAGTCTCCGAAGCCAGGAGAGGCAGGAGCTCTGGGGTCTGGCATGTTTACAATACTGAGCTGCCTGCTGCACCACTGGGAGCCCGTGATTCCTAGAGCTTGTTAAAATGTAGATTCTGATGCAGTGTATCTGGGAGCCCTGGTGGCATAATGGGTTATACATTGGACAGCTAACCTCAAGGTCAGTAGTTGGAAACCACCAGTTGCTCATTGGAGAAAGAGGAGGCTTTCTACCCCTGTAAACTGTGAGTCTCAGAAACCCACAGGGGCAGTTCTACTTGCCCTACAGGGAGGTCACAAGTTGGAAT